TTTAATTGGTTGTTCGTTTTTATGATGCTTAGTTGTTTTCTTTGTTTGCTGCTTGTTTTTTAGTTCATTGTAGACACTAGCTCTTTGTCAGATCTATAGCTAACAAAGAATGTTTTCCCATTTGTAAGCTGTCTCTCCAGTTTAATGATGATGCCCTTTGCTGTATGGGAGCCTTTTGGTTTCATGAAGTCTCATTCATGAGCTGTCTGTCTTTATGTCTGTCTTGTCAGGATCCTGTTTGGAAAGTCCTTTTTTTCTGCCTGTAGGTTGAAATATAGCTTCAACTTTCTTCTCTAAAAGACTCAGCAGATCGGGTCTTACATCAAGGTCAGAAAGCATGCAAAATATTATTTCAATTATCTCCTATTTATTGAGATTTAATTAAGTCCTAATATATCATCATTTTTGGAGAAAGTTCCATGGGCTGCTGAGAAGAATGTGTATTCTTTAGTGTTTGAGTACAATAGGCTGTAGATGTGTTAAGTCCATTTGATTTATGGTATCCAGAGTTTCTCTGTTTAGCTTTTGCTAAGATAACTTGTCTACTGGTGATAGTTGGAATTAAATCCACTCATAACCAGTGTGTTGGGTTTATCTATGGTTTTAAATATAGTAGCATGTCTTCACTGAAGTTGGGTGCACCTATTTGGTGCATGCATTTGCATTGTCCTCTTGGTGGGTTGTTACTTTAATGAATATGAAGTGACCTTCCTTGTACTCTCTGATTAATTTGTTTTGATTTGAATTTATTGTCATATACTAGAATAACTATACCTACACCTACTTATTTCCTAGTTCTGTTTGCTTGGTATAACCCTTTTCCATCTTTTTATTATGAGGTGGTGTCTATTATTGATGATAAGGTGCATTTCTTGGAGACAGGAAAAAGATGAGTCCTATTGCTCATTAATTCTGCTATAATACATCATTTTATTTGAGGAATTGCATACATTAGTATTGGGAGCTATATTATTGAAAGATGTATAATAATTCCTGTCATTTTGTAGTGTTTTCTTGGACTTCTGATTAACTATTCTTGCTCTGCTTACTTATTCCCTATGAACTCTTGGTGTGTTTATCATCCTCTTCATACTGAAATATTCCTTCTTGTGTCCTCTGTAGAGCTCTGGCTTACCGTTCATAAGTCTGTTTAATCTGTTTTAATCATGGAAAGTTTTTATTTCTCCTTTAGTTTAGTGGATAATTCTGCTGGGTATAATAGTCTAAGTTGACAGTTGTGGTCTTTCAGAAATTGGAATATGTCTTTCCTGACCCTATTGATTTTAAAAGGTTCTGTTGAAAAATCAATTTTTATTCTGGAGGAACTGGCTTGACAGGTGACTTGGCCTTTCTCTCTTTCAGTTTTCAATACCTTTTTTATTCTCTGTTTTTAATTTTTTAATTATAATATGTAATAGAGGGATTGTTTTTTGGTCTTGTTTAGTTGGTATTGTGTAAGTCTCTTGTACAAGGGTAGGAATCTTTTTCTCTAGGTTTGGGCCATCTTCTCTGACCTTATTGAAAATATTCTTGGTGCCTTTTTTTTGGTTTTCTTCTTTTATGCCCACAATTCAAAACTTATGTCTTTTCATGGTATCCTGTCCCAAAGCTTCCATATATATTTTACATTTTATTCACCGTTACTGAGTAATGCATTTCCTTTACTTTGTCTTTCAGCCTGATTCTTTGTTTTCCTGCTGACCTATTCTATTAGGGATGTTTTTCTCTTTCTTACTGAGTTATTTATTTCTAGAATTAATTTTTTTCTATTCTATCTGTATTGAATTGAATTTTTGTATCTTTGATTGACTTCAGCATTTCATTCAGCACTTTGCTTTTGTTTTCTTTGAGATGGTTGAACATAGTTATGATTGTTCTTTTGAACTCTGTCTGGAGGCTTTTCCTGGTTCTTTTCATTGGGATTCATTACTATTGGACTAGTCATTTTTGGGTGGGACATGTTGTCTTGGTTTTTTTTTTTATGGTTTTTTGTTTGTTTTTTACTTTTACTTCTGTTCTGGGACTTGTGAATCTGAAGCAGTTTGTTAGTTGTGTCTTTGTTTTTGTATTTGCTTGTCAAGTTTCCTCTTGCAGTGTAGACATGTACAATTTTCAAGAGAAGATTAAGTTGAAAGAGGTTTGATTCACTGTTTTCTTTTATGGAACTTGTATTGAGGGTTGTGGGCTCTATCTCTAGTCTTTTTGCTAGTGTCTGTGTAAAAAGATGTTACCCAAGAGTCAGCACACCTCTAGCTGGCCCTCTCCTCTACTGACTTCTGGCGTGGCTCTCCAAGTCCAGCTGCTGTATCTTGGAGAGGAGATCTTAGGAAGCTTGGGTGTGTAGTCAGGAGGCATGTAGGAGGTGTGTGGCTCGAAGTAGTAGCTATAGCAAGGGCTATGTTGTAGGTTTGTAACTTTTATTTCTCACCTTAAATCAACACATTACAAATACTTCGTATTTATTTATTTATTTATTTATTTATTTATTTATTTTTCAAGACAGGGTTTCTCTGTGTAGTTTTGGTGCCTGTCCTGGATCTCGCCCTGTAAACCAGGTTGGCCTCAAACTTAGAGAGATTCACCTGACTCTGCCTCCTAAGCTCTGGGATTAAAGGCGTGCACCACCACGCCTGGGTCTATGTTTATTCTTAAAATAAAAACAACATTTTTCTTCATTAATTAGCTGAAACAATAAAAAATCTAAATAAAAATATAACTAGTAACTTTTTAAAGTATGTTTTTGGTCCCTGTCCCTAAATTACATATGAGATAGTTGGTCTTATCAAGCTCCAGTTCCTTGTTATGGTAATGTAACAGTGGATAATAAAATTTATGAATTCAAATGATTCAAATGTAAATTCTTTTTTGAAAATGCTATTATGAAAATAATATGGTGCAATGTTTTATATTTGAAAAGTAATCCTCATATTTTTTTAAGTATTTCAGTATATATAACATACATTTAAAGACAGTGCAGATTATCAGAGTAAAGCAGTAATATTGAAATAGTAAAAAATGATTATGTTTTTAAAATGAAAATACATACAAATAAATCACAAACCTTGGACATTGTGAATTCCACCATAAATGCACTTGAGGGAAGTGAGTTATTTGGTCAATATCTAGTAATATTTGATAGTAAAAGGCTTAAAATGTAAGATTACCATGATTCTGCCAGCTTTTTTTTTTTTTTTTTTATAGCTGATATAGAGCCTTTGTTTTGGGAGGATATGCCACCTGGTTAGGGTCAAGTAGTGTTGCTAGAGTTTTTCTGCCTTGCCCAGAGTCAGGATAAATCTTTGTCACCCGCCAGTCCCACAGCCGCTCAGACCCAACCAAGTAAACAGAGACTTATATTGCTTACAAACTGTATGGCCGTGGCAGGCTTCTTGCTAACTGTGCTTATAGCTTAAATTAGTCCATT